AGGTCACGCTGACGCTTTTTGGGCTGACGACCAGCCGACACAGCGGTCGTCACAGGGTTACACCTTCAGCCTTGGCTGGGCTCTGTTTCGTGGCGGTCTACCCGCTCGTCTTGTGTTCTCACCTCCAGCTGTGAGGCTGAGATCTACGCGGGGGCCATGGCTGCACAAGAGCTACGGTGGCTCACCTACCTGCTGACTGACTTAGGAGAGCCGCCTCGTTCTCCTCCAGTTCTGTACGTAGACAACAAGGCCATGCTGGCCTTGTGTCGGGAGCACAAACTGGAGCACAGAACGAAGCACATTGCTCTTCGCTACTTCCTGGCTCATGAGCTGCAGCAGCGTGGTCAGCTCCGCCTCACCTACGTGGCCTCTGAGGCCAACACTGCTGATATCTTTCCCGAGGCCCTTCCGCCTTGTGATCATCAGCTCTTCTGTGCTATGCTAGGTCTTGTGCCTACTTGGCCTCACTTGCTCACTTCTTGACCTTGTTTGTACTGTACTCTTTCTATACCTGCACTTGCTTGTTTACCTTTATATATATGATCTTGCATGTGAACTGGCCTTGTGGCCTTGCTCTTGTGCTCGGACTGTGTGGTGACGTTGTGATCCACCCTGAGCTCGCCTTGCTTTGCTTGACTGGTCTTGTGACCCCTTGTTCTCCCCCACTTTGCCTATGGGGGTGTGTCAAGCATATATGCTATAGTCTGTGTAGGCTGTAGTGGGGCAATTCATATGGGGTACAACACTTTAGGGTTTACCACCTGTACTCCTCATTCTGCTCAATGCATTCATTCCTTGTTTCTTATCAAACAAGGCCATGCCGGCCTTGTATCGGGAGCACAGACTGGAGCACAAAACGAAGCACATTGCTCTTCGCTACTTCCTTGCTCGTGAGCTGCAGCAGCGTGGTCAGCTGCGCCTTGCTTACGTGGCCTCTGAGGCCAACACTGCTGATATCTTTACCAAGGCACTTTTGCCTTGTGATCATCAGCGCTGCTGTACGATGCTAGGTCTTGTGCCTCCTTGGCCTCACTTCCTCACTTCTTGACCTTGCTTGTACTGTGATCTTTCTATACCTGCACTTGCTTGTTTACCTTTATATATGATCTTGCATGTGAACTGGCCTTGTGGCCTTGAACTTGTGCTCGGAATGTGTGGTGACGTTGTGATCCACCCTGAGCTTGCTTTGCTTTGCTTGACTGGTCTTGTGACCTCTTGTTCTCCCCCGCTTTGCCTATGGGGGTGTGTCAAACTCATATGCTATAGTCTGTATAGGCTTTAGTGGGGTAGACAATATGGGGTACAACACTTTTAGGTTTTCCTACTTGTACCCACCTGCTTGCTAGTTCATTCATTCCTCATTTCTTCACAGTGTGCACTAGGAAAACGACTAAGGACCAACGAACGCAAAGATCACACAAGCACCCGTGCCTAGCCCGTAGTCTAGCTCCCGTTGTAGTAGTTATCTCTGCACCCTAAGCGATCACAAACATGTCTTGTAGTAACTGTTTGCAATCTCATCATTCGGCGGAAACATGTCGACTCAATTGTGGGGCTGATTTTATATTGGCTAGATAAGGGTTGTGTTGAACCTACGTGGGTTGTTTCTAGTTTGGTTGGGAACCAACCATCTCAAACCAATCGCAAAGGTTCAGGCAACAAATTTACAGCATTGTTCTGATTGGTTGGCATTCCAACCACTTCCCGATCCAACCCAAATCTCACTTCCCTCCTTTCCCACACCAGGTTCATTGAACCTACCTTAGTGACAATGTGATCTAGCCGTGTTGTAGCCATATGATTGCAATTACAGAACCCTAAACATGTCTGGGGCAGTGTTACGGTGCCTCGTTTTAAGTCTTATTGGCACGACGGTGGTATTCAATAGTAGTGTATGGGAGGTATCTATGGTTGCGCACTCTTTTGTTTTCCCTTGTCAAATCAACGGGAACATTTTCATCATGTGTGCTTGGTTGTTTGTGGGGTTGGGCTTGTGTTTCACCCAACCCGCGCGCGCGTTTTTTCAAACCAACCCTGAACGAATTGGGTTGCCTTCGCTAGTGTTGTTTCCTCATCTCGCACCAGCTTTATAAACTGAACCACACTTCGTGCGAATCAAGGGTCATCAAAGGGTGTATACAAACGATGGCCCCAAAAACCACCCCCATGAATGTGCACCCTTGCTTTAATACTAGGGATTTGTAAGGAATTCTGCTTTTCTTACTTCGTGTCACCACCTTTACCGTGTACAACATAGTTCCACCCATTTTCATTCAGACGAGGCCCCTTTGCCACCTCACAGTATCAACTTTGACACTATTCCCGCCACCATCACGGTTACGCCCGAACCATATGGCTCGCTTGGTGACCTGCGGCCCGGCCCTACGCAACGACATTTCCCAAACCTTGACACAAGGCCCAAAAGGGCATTCAGTGCGAGCATGTGTTACCATTAACATTGTTTTTGCTTTTAACAATTTGCTCATGCCTTCACTCATTATAATGTTTTGCTTCGATTGTGCAATTCTTGTTCGCTCAGTCAATTGCATTCATAACACTTGATATTCAGAGCCACGCTCCTTTCGGACCGCCCGCACCTTCGCTTCTTCAACTCATTACATTTTTGGGGGGGGTGGACATCCCTGAGCGCCTAGTGCTGTTGTTAGTGTGCTCTTTCGTAAACACGCACGTGCCACAAACTAAAGAGCCGTAACGGGTAGGAACGAAAGTATCAAGAGGACCGTGAGAGAAGAGAAATGGGACTTCACTAACAAGGAAAGGTACAAGAATGCGGATGGTGGCAAATGGGGGTACACCACAAAGAGACAATTCTAAGACGATACTACAGTAGATGTTTGCATGCATTTATAAGAATATACATTCAACATCACAGCCTCAACTGAGACTACCACAAATTTTGCCTGACATCCCTACGTAGAGCTTGTAGGCTGTCTCGTGTACCTGTTGACTTTTACTCGGCCGGACCTCGCCTTTCCCCTCAGCATCCTCTCTCGCTTTGTTGCGACTGGGAGACACCGTCCTGTTCACTGGACAGCTGTTATGAGGGTGGAGAAGTACCTAGCGACTGCATCAGGCATTGGGGTTGTGCTTGGAGGGACTCAGCCAGTTGAGTTTACCAGTCAGTGCGACTTTTCCTACTCTGACAACTTGGAGACTCAACGTTCGACTCAGGGTTACTGCTTCAGCCTGGGTGCTGGTGCTGTGTCATGGAGGTCTACACGGTCGTCGTCTGTGGCTTCGTCTAGTGCAGAGGCGGAGACCTAAGCTGGTGCCATGGCGGCATAGGAGCTTCGCTGGTTGACCTTCTTGCTCGTCGACCTCGGTGAGTGGCCTTGCTGTGCACCGACCTTGTACGCTTGCAACAACGCCATGATCCTCCTGTGTCGAGAGCCTTGAGTAGAGAGCAGAATGAAGCACATTGACGTGAGGTACTTTCTTCTGCGAGAGTTGCAGTGACGCGACCAGACACGCTTGGACTTTTTGCCTCAGAGGCCAACACTGCCGACGTCTTCACCAAGGCCTTGGCGCCAGGTGACCACCACAGGTTCCGTGTGCAGCTAGGGCTTGTTGAGGTAGGCCCTCGGTTGCTGTAGTCTTGCTGTTTGCTCTGCTTGTTTTGCTTTGCTATATATCCTAGTGAAGTGAACTCTCGAGCTGGCCTTGTGGCCGTTTGTTTGTGTTCGTAGTGTGTGGTGACTTTGAGCGCCACCCTGAGCCTTGTTCTGTTGCTTGCTCTTGACTTGTTTTGCGACCATCTGCTGTCAATTGTTTGTCTCCTTGATGTCCCTCACTTAGCCTATGAGGTGTGTCAAACTATAATAACTCTTCTATGAGGTACAGTTGTTAGAGTTGCATATTTGTACCCCATCCCTTTCTATTCCTATCATTGAGTTGTGATTACTTCTTGAGATAACGCTATATGGCGAAAGATGCAAAATGTGGCGCGGTGTTGTAAGCTAGCATATGCAGAGCTGACAGTGAGGTTCAAGCTAGGTCGACTCAGCCTTATACAAAAGCTTATGGTTTGGCAAAAATAGCGCTCGATGCGGCGTACACCGCTAACTAGCAACGGGCAAAGAATAGTCGGACCTGTGAACAGCATTGTACGTGGCGGAATAGAGTGTGCAGTAAGGAATTTGCGAAATTCTTTACAGTAGCATCAGTGCACCTCCACGGGGTATGGGGTTAATTGTCATTGCCTGCAATTCACATTTTCTTGTAAAAGCCTTCCTTCAGGCGACCTACACCTTGTCCAAGTCCTGGGTGAGCTTAAAACGCGAACCCGTCTTGAGCACGTTTGACGAGGCCACGTCACCCGTCCTTTGGCGACCCGTCAACATCGACATAAGCTTTCCGCGCGCTGGCTGTCAAGCCCACGAAAGGCGACGCGCATGAGGTGTTGGAGGCACGATGGAGAGCAAGGGCGGAATTTGCGCACGAGTCACACACAACCATGCCTTCGCGAGCTGTGCAAATGTGAAGTGAAGACTCAAGTTGGCCTCGCCGTTTCGCCTCACCAAAAACGCCCACGCACTGGAGTTTTTCTTGCTGCAGTCTGCGTGAATTTCGCCCTTGGTCTTGTTCGCTACGCATCACGACTCTCGTTTATTCCTCTCCCCTCCATCACAATTTCCCTGCCAATTTTGCTAGATAGCCCTGGTGTTTCGTCACCTTGTCCTCGCCAGAGATCGAGCGATTAGCTAGGGCCGTTGGTTTCTGCCATCATCACGAGTAGAGGGCGATGGATGCGTTAGACATCTCGACAGGTAGGATAATGAATCGGATTTCAACAAGCCTAATGTAGAAACCCATCGTTAGGACGGCCTCCTCTCACAATATCCCTACGACCACAACGCCTTGCTTCCTCCATCACCAGGTCTTCCGCTCTCTCTTATACGGCCACACACCGCCCCGCAAAGCTCGTGTGTCGCGGCCCATTACTGGGCGCGCCGGCCGCCATGTCGACCATGACTCTTTCCATGGAGCCCGTGCCGCCTCCATCGCACAGCTCGGGCGGCATGGCGCACGCGCGCGTGGTGCGCGAGGACAGCATGGACCGCCTTCACCAGCTCGCGTCGCACCGCCCCGTGCTGCACCGCCGCCACTCGCACAACCACTCGCGCCAGTCGCCCAAGTCGCTGCTCCAGTCCAAGCCCGCGTCCGCCGCGCACCGCCTCGTCTTCATGCGAAACTACAAGCAAGGCTCGCCCTCGCAAACTCTGTCGCATGGCAGTCCCACGGCCGTCGCTTCACGCGGCGACAGCAGCAGCGTCGGCATCGGCACGCCTCAGCCGTCGCATCACAGCCGGTCCACGGACAAGCCGCCGCAGGCGTCGACTCAGAGCGCGGAGCCCACGCCGCTGAAGGAGATCCGCCGGCAGCACAGCTGGCCGCTGCCGCCACAGCCGTCCTCGTCGGAGGCGGCGGCGCCAGCGACGACGGCGACGCCGGCAGCGACGGTGACAACAGGACAGCGAGCGGCACCAGCGTCCTCGGTGCTGCGGCAGCCCGCTTGCTCGATGGTGGAGTGCAGCGCGCGAGGGGGGCCGAGAGCGCGGCGGGAGGAGGAGGAGGAGGAGGAGGTGTCGTCGTGGGCGTCGTCCGTAGAGGAGAAGCCGCTGACGGCGGCCGCTGTGCACGTGGGCGACAACCGCAAGTACGACATCGTCGCCGTCGGGTTCTGGCTGGCGGCCCTGCAGCAGGGGTGCCCGCTGGTGAAGCTGAGTCGGCGCAGGCCCGGGCGAACGAAGCAGCGCAACTACTTCGTCTACGTGGAGCGCACTGGCGCGGTGCGTGTCGAGGCGAGGCTGCTGTGCGCAAACAAGGGCATCCATAGCCCAATGAACACTTGTCACTGTCTGTTTCGCTGTGCATCCACTCTCGCTCATGCTTGTCTCCCTCCCGTCCATCCCCGCGCATTGCTCGTGCAGATTCGTTTGCAGTGGGACAAGCCTCGCCTGTTCTCCATGGGCTCGTCCGCGCCAGGTGCGCATGCCCCTGCCGCCCATGCGCCATGCATTCCCATGTCATTCACCAACGAACACCATGCCATGATGCCGTTCCATGTAAAAATCCCCGCATGCATAGCTCGGCTGTTTTCCATTACTAGTCGCGGGATGAAACGCGGCCTGGCGCCACCACCATGCGCACAGCCTAGGCCGCGTTTAGCGCCATCGAGCCGTGTTTTCAACAAGCGCGCTTTTCACATCCAAACCATTCAGCCTCTCAAACTTCTCCTTCTTCTGGCCCCCTCCCGCCTGCCGCGGCGATCCCTGTGGCGGGCGCGCAGTGCATCTGTACGGCACGGAGACGACGGACGCGTTCGCGATGGAGTTTCGCATGTACACGTCGGAGGGACAGATCATGATGCGCGCGCACACGGACGACTGGTTCCAGATCTGGATCAAGGGTATGCGCTCCATCATCGAATACGCTAAAGTTCTATCCTGGACTCTTCAAATCTAGGCCGTGCAAACTGGCTTCGCGTTCGTACGTACGACCTTGAGAGTGACGGGCTTATCCGTTCCCTACACACGCAGTTACGCCCTTTTCGGGCCATCGTGCCTGCTCGAAGTGCCCAGCTCGCCTACCCGTGGTGGAGTCTTGGGAAAATACCATTTCTAGGGAGGAATAAAGTAGTCGGGACATGCAAGTGCGTCAAGAATCAACTATTGCTCCCTGTCACGTGGAAGTAGTTTCCTTGTCTGTACAGATTTTGTAGACAGTCCTGTCCGTTGGAATGAGATCTCCGACTGCATTATCATGCAACATCTGTGGTATATATAAAAGGAAAAGAAGCTGGTAGGGGATGTGTAGGAGGGGAGAGGGGGGAGGAAGAGGGAGAAAGGGGGAGGAGGGGGCACAAAGAGGGGAATTCCAAAAGCGGGTGTGATAACAATAAGCAGCTGCATCCGGCTTGGTTGTTTTGATCCATCTTCTAAGAGACATTGCCATGCCAGCTACCCTCATAGATCCGCTTGCGTTGCCAGGAATTTCATTCTTCCGTTGCATTATCTTCAATAAGACGAGGGCTTCACCTCAGCCTAACACTAATGATTAGAGTAAATCCGGTAAGGAAATGATAATTCCTTGAAAATAGCTTGAGACTAGAATTTGTTACCACTATAACATGGATAGAGGCACAGTGGTACCGTATTCAACGCAGGTGCACCTCACAGCCAGCTTCCTCTCGTTTGGTGTATCCACCAAAGTCCGTGGACTGCAGGTGTATTTGACGCCGAACCATTCGTCAGGTGCATCTCAACGTCTGGTTCGGTTCATCATGGGAAATGATCAGATTGGGGCCCCAGAGCTCTAGAAAAGTCGCCTACTTGGGGCCTTGTGTCTCGCAAGTAGTCGAACCTGGGCAGGACCTGCGCTCCGTCAGACCTGACCACACAAATTTGACGACATCGACAAATTTGACTCGACATTTTTAAATTGGCTAAGTTTCCTCTCGTGCTTCATTCCTTCGAAGGGGCCTCAGCCCTAAACATCTTGCCGCACGGTGTTTAGGGTTGATGCTTCCCCAATTATATGCCATCCGAATGGGGTTTATTTTTTGTACCATAGCGATGTTTTTTTTGGGTTAAACAGTTGTTTTTCTGGGTATTTTTTATGACGAGTCACTAGCGAGTTCCGTCAGCCCCAGGTCAGTAGGTGGTGACCTGGCGAGAAGGCTAGGCTCGGTCTAACTGCCCAGGTGAGGTGGTTGCTTCGAGGCTACGAAGTAGGTGCGCGACTCAGGAGGCCCCAATTCGGCCACGCTACTCCGGGGCCCCTTTCTGATCTTTTCCCGTTCATCATACCTCGGATCAAGCCAGTTGTATTCTTGGGATTTCTCCGAGCCTGTCAAAGTCGAGATTCGGTGCAGTGCAGCACAATCGTGGAGCTCTGAGGCCCCTCGATGAAATCCAACAAACCGCTAAATCCCCGAGTGTAACCGCAAGCAACTCCCTGTGAAGCGGCTTGGAAACCTCTAGACCAGGCCTAGGTTGCAAGCACCAATCACCACCCACCACCCTTCTTCATGTCCATGCCACGTAGCTCCCTTTGGGCTTGGGCTAGGAGGAGATTCTGGGGGAGGCAGCGCGGCACTCCCAGTACAGTTCAGTGTTGCACCACCTTGATCTCAACTTTTCGTCGCCAATTCTGACGTTGCAGTTGCGGCAAGCAAAGTTGGCTGAGGGCGACGTCAGGTTGTACAACGTCCTGTACGCCTACTGCGGTTAGCTTTGTTTCAGCAAGGTGCAGAGCGGTACGAGGCGAGAACCGCTTTTCACCGTGCTGGACCATCCTGAACCACAAAACAGGAACTGTAAACGCGTGAGAAAAGTATAACCTGACTTCGCCCTGATCACACATATGGTCCGTTGAGACAAGACTTCGTTACTGCTAATCCAGCAAGCCACCACCAAGCACAGCAGGCTGCTCCTCTCGCGATCTCGTCCACTTCGCCTTCTCACCGCAGTCCGCACGCATCGTCGCGTCTCACCCGCCGCCATGGCCACTGTGTCGCTCGCCGCTGCTCGTCCGACCGGCCTCGCGCTCGCCGCCGGCGGCGCATCGCATCGCGATCCCGCCACTACCGTCTCCACCTCGCTCCGCGCCGTGCCTCCGTCCGCCGGAAATCCGGGTCCGATAAGGGCAATCCGAAATGTGGCAACCAACGCTGTGAGTTTTCGCGCTGTATTTACACGCCGGAAACGGAGGGCCGAGTAAGGAAAGCCAGCGGGGGACGACAGCAGAGAGGTGTATCGACGCGAAGATCGATCGCACGTATTCGCTCCGCAACCGCGTCCGTCCAGAAAGTTGTGCCGTTTCATGCCACCGCCTCGTCACTCCACCCTTCATCTCCGACACACCTTTCCCCCTCTTCCCCCCGCCCTCCCCCAGGTGGCGGAAGAGCAGGCTGCTGTGGTGGCGGCGCCCATGGCGGACGCGGAGCTGAAGCGCGGCATCGCGGAGTTCTACGACGAGTCGTCGGCGGTGTGGGTGGACATCTGGGGCGAGCACATGCACCACGGCTACTACCCTTCACCCGCCGAAAAGTCCGCGCAGACCAACAGCAGCGCCGTCTCCGCCGTTAACGGCAGCGCTATTAACGGGAACGGGAGCGCGGTTAGCAGCGGCGCGAGCGTGGATCACTTCGCGGCGCAGGTGGAGATGATCGAGCGCGTGCTTGCATGGGCTACGGCCGACGGTGAGCAGCTGTAGCGGCGAGCAGCCGAGAGGTGACGAGAGCCGCCGCGGCGCGCGGTGCCATTGAGTTTTTTTTACCCGAGTCGTCCCTGAGCCCGCTCGGTCAAGTGGCAGCCTTGATCGACTAACATGCATAATAGTCTGTTTCACCCTGTCATCACTTCCGCTGCCATCCCGCTCCCCGCCGACCCGCAGACAGCGAGGGCTGGAAGCCGCGGCGAGCGGTGGACGTGGGGTGCGGCGTGGGCGGCAGCTCGCGGCACATGGCGCGCAAGTACGGCGCGGAGGTGGACGCCATCACGCTGAGCCCGTGGCAGGCGGCGCACGGCAACCAGCTCTGCAAGGACGCGGGGCTCGGCCAGCAGGTGTGTGCGCGCGCGGGGTCGCGCACCTGGATCCGCTTCCACTCGCCTCCGTCACTCGCCTCCGTCGCTCGCCTCCGTCGCTCGCCTCCGTCGCTCCCCTATCCCGTCCGCCTCCCTTCCACCCGTTTCCTCTTCCCTTCCTTGCTCTCTTCCCCGCACGCCCTCCTCTAAAATATCGTCAAGATCTCTTCGTTCGCTTTTCCCCGTCGCTCCGCTGCCTCCCTGCCCTTCCGCGCTGCGCCTCCCCCCTGCGCGTCTCTCAGGTGCGGCTGCAGGTGGCGGACGCGATGGCGCAGCCGTTCAACGAGGGGACGTTCGACCTGGTGTGGTCGCTGGAGAGCGGCGAGCACATGCCGCGCAAGCAAGAGGTGCGCGCGCATGGGAACCGGGGCGCACGCGCAGTGAGGATGGGGGAGAGACGAGGAGAGCGTGGTGGGATGAGGAGCACAGGACTGGAGGAAAGGATGAGCAGCGAACGGCGAGCGGAAGGATTGTGAGGAGTACGGGAAACGGAAAGCCGGGGAGGGGGAGGGTGGAGGAGTTGTGAGAGAAAGGCATGCTGGGATGTGTTCCCGTGGCCTCACACCTTCCGACTTCTCCCACATCCTGCGCGTTCTCCCTTCCCCCCTGTTCTCCTGATTCCCACCCCCTCCGCCTCTGTGTTCAGTTCGTGCGCGAGCTGGCGCGCGTGGCGGCGCCAGGCGGGCGCATCATCATCGTGACGTGGTGCCACCGCGACCTGCAGCCAGGGGAGACAGAGCTGTCCCAGGGCGAGCAGGTGCACTGTTGGGGTGGGGAGGAAGGGGGGAAGGGGGGAAAGGGGGAGGATGTGTGGGGAGTGGTGAGGGCACTGTGCAGGCGCGGCCATGCACGTGGCAGCACATGCCCGCCCATGACCCATGATTTTGCGACACACCCCAGTATCTGCACTGCATCATCAGACTCCTCCATGCCTCCCTCTTCCTCGCCCACCTTCCGCTCCCACGGCCACCCTGTGTGCCACCTGCTCCTTTCTCACTGTGTCCTTCAGCCCTTTCCTCTCCGTTACTCTCCACGTTATTTTCCTTCTACCTAGCCTCATCCACTCCCTTCTCCTGCCTTCCCTTCCGTCTTCTCCTCCCCGCCTCCCCTTCCGTCTTCTCCTCCCCGCCTCCCCTTCCGTCTTCTCTTCCCCGCCTCCCCCCAGGCTCTCCTGCAGCGCATCTGTGACGCCTACTACCTGCCCGCGTGGTGCTCGCCCTCCGACTACGTGCACTTCGCCACTGACGCTGGGCTGCAGGTACGGCCGAGGCAAGTACGGCCGAGGCAGGTACACTGCGGCAGGTACGGCCGAGGCAGGTACAGTGCGGCTGGTACCGCCGGTACAGGTATATGGTGCAGGACACCTGATGCGACACCATACGTTCCTCCCCAAGGTGCTCCATGATGAGGTGCTTGGCCCTGGTGTCGTTCTAGCGATCGAGGCACCGCTCCAGGTGCCAGGTTGTGGGGAGACACAGCATTGAATGGGGCAAGCACCCGCCAGTTTCACACCCCAGCTCATGCACAAGTGCATATCCGTGCATACGCAAATACACGCACTCTGACGCATCCACCCATGCATGCATGCGATCCTGCGCGCTGCACTGTCACTGCCTTGTTTCTTCGTTGGTATCCTTCTGACTAAATCTGGCCAACTTGTGGGTGGCACCGCATCCCCTCTAACCCCCAGGACGTGCGCGTGGCGGACTGGACGGAGAATATCTCGCTCTTCTGGCCGGCCGTCATGCGCTCGGCGCTCACACCCAAGGGCATCTGGGGGCTGCTGTCTTCAGGGTGGAAGACGCTCAAGGGCGCCGTGGCCATGCTGTGGATGATGCAGGGGTACAACTCAGGGCTCATCAAGTTTGCCCTCATCAC